TTCTTTTTACACCAAATTTAATAATATTGTTAAACAAAACTCACGCACCGCGCGAGTAATATTCTAGTTGATATAATCTTTTTCGTATCACACATGTAGACAATGATATATCATATTCACTTGTTTATCTTCTTTTGGAGTCTCCAAATAATCCTTACTTATCTTAGTAAGAAAATTTAGGAGGTGTTATTGAATGAGTGTTTTTAATGTATTTTATTGTAATTATATTTAGAGGTATTTAGAGGTATTTTATTGGGTTTTGATGAATTTACAGTGACCTATCACGATTCTATTGGTATTTTTATGGATTTTATTGTAACTGTATTTGGAAGTATTTTGTTGGATTTTAATAATTCATAATGACCCGCGTAATCTATTTTGAGTTTGTTTTTATAATAGGTTTGAATTTCAAAAAATCATTTTTCTTCTAACTATAATTTTTTAGAAACTAAAGAAAAATATTTCTCCACTTCGACAAATTCTTTAACAAAGTTTTGCACATGAATCCATGAAGAAATCGTTATATATATATATTAAAAAAAACAAAAGTTACAATTCATGTTTATTTTCTTCATATTTTTTGGTGAGAAATTTTATTTTGGAAATATTTATTTATTTTATCTTTTATATGAAATCCACCAAAAGAAAAAGTGGAAAGCACGTATTAGAGCATCCGCATTGGAGACAAATGTGGATGTCTTTAAATATAAAATTATTAAAATTTGAGTAAAAGGAAGAAAGAGAGTGTTTTTGGTTGAAATAATGAGGTGTATTGAAATATAAAATTAATAAAATTTGAGTAAAGAGAGGAGATAGTGGATATTGTTGGAGAGATTGTGTCTTTAGGAAGACATAAATAGTGATTTTTGGAGAGAGAATATGGGTGTGTTTAAATATAAAATTAATAAAAATTGAGTAAAAGAATGAAGGAGAAGGTATAAAGTTGAGTAAAAAGAAGAAAGTGTGTGTTTTTAATATTTGTTTATTTAAAGACATCCACAAAAGATGACGAATGCGGATGGTCTTAGGCACGTATTAGGTTTACTCATGTTTTAGACAAAAAATACTATAAAATCCATTATAACTAAAATCTCCTACAATCAAGGACATATTGAATAACACAGTTTTTATTGTATTTTAGAATCAATCTAACAAATACTTAATCCAATAACAAGAGATTTTAATGTATTTATATCAAATACACAATAACACGGATTCATCTTTGATTTTAAAATACATTAAAAGTACAATTTCAATAACACCTCCTTAGGAAATTTGAGGTTATCAGAGATCAAATCTGTTTAGTAAATATTAGAAGAAAATAAAAGTTTTGGGTTCAATTAATTAGAAGAAAGTTTCTTATAAATGCTTGATAATTGAATAAGAATCAAAAGCTCCAAGGAAAAGAAGATAAAAACTCTAGCCATCAAATGAAGTTCAGTGACATCACATACCATATTCCACCACTCAGAATAAATAATCGTTAATAATACCATGTTGTATAGTTTATTGTTTAAAAAATCATACATTACAGACTTGTACATCTTTCCCAGGCTGTTCAAATCTGAGAACAATGATTTTCTTAATCCTATTTAGTACTATATTATTTTATTGCTAAACAAAAAAAAAAATATTACACCGTTCTTTAAATTAAAACCAAGCCATTGGGCCGTTAAAACTCACAAAAGCCCAATAATTACACAAAAAGGGAAGTCTCCATCTAACCCAGAAGGTCTGACCCCATATGGCCCCATACATCACATGCTAAACCGGTTTAGGTTACATTCTATCCCACGCGCCACTTAACAGGAAAGTTATGTACACGCGACATGCCAAAATGAGCCGTGGGGTCCAACAAAGACATATCATCTTGGTGAAGCTCCACGTCATCTTGGTCCACCGGAATATTTTAAAATAAATTCGAGTATCTTTATATTCTGTGTACACTAGTTGTCGGATTATACGCGGA